GTGGAATAAGCGCTTCCCTGGCAAGGGCAAGGGCATGAGTTCATTCCCTGGTTCCAAAAAAAATTATTAAAATAAAAAATAAATAAATAAATAAAAATTAAAAAACAACATCACTGCATTAGAAAACAAACCCTTCAGGCTCAGGACACTGTGATTCAATGCCCAGATCCTCATGCCTTACCAGACCCAGCCATCCTGAGCTGGCAAAAAAAAAAAAAAAAAAAAATCCTTCAGAAAGCAAAGCCTTGTTCCCGTGAAGATACAAGGACACGTTAGTGCCACTCTCTTGTCCAGCGTTCAACACATAACTTGGTCTCTTGTGTGCTTTTATTCAAAGACATTTTATTTAAAATACATTGTTGACCTATTAATATTGGACCTACAGCCAACAGCACTGTAAATGAGGCCGGACACCACCTTCTGGGGAACACCAGAGAGCATGTTAGCACTACTCCGAGGGAGCATTTTAAACAGTAAAATCATCCAGTAAGAAGAAGAAAATTACAAAAATATGGCACTACAGAGCCTGTAGAAAGGACACCTGTTTACAGCATGAGAGCTGAAACAACAAGGCAGAGTTGGGGCCGGCCAGATAGCTCAACGGACTAAAACACCTGCTTAGGCAGAGCGCAGGGACTGCGGTTTGAGCCCTGGAGTGCCATGCCAGCCCCGCCCCCTGGGTGCGCTGAGATGGTAAATGAGACTGGGAATGGTAGCACATGCCTGTAATCCCAGCGCTTGGGAGGCTGAATATAGGAGGATGACTATGAGTCCGATCTATGGAGACCCTGTAGACCCTGTACTAAAATACCAAAAAAAAAAAAAAAAAAAAGGCAGAGTATCACTTTGCCTGATCTCAGCTGGACATGAATTTGTCAAATGGCTATAAATTTCACTGTTCTGTGCTATACAAGTTCAGGACTGAACACAGCATCACAAATATTTATTTGGGGGACACACAAATGCTAGCAAGTAGGTGCTGAAATGTATAAACATGGGATCTCTGAATAATGAAGACTGACTGTAGATCAATGCCACTATAAAAAAAGTCATGATCAAGAAAAGAATGCTAAAATTTTTTAAAGTAGAAAAAACAAAAAGACTTGGGTCCAGGGTTGTAGCTCAGTGGCACAGACATGCTTAGCACGAGAGAGCTTCTGGCTTCAATCCTCAGCACCCAAGACAGAGAAGAAATCCACCAGAAACCAAAACAAATGAGGAAAACGTTAAGGTCCCAATGACTTGGGCTCAACTACTGCAAAAGGTATGAGACTGTACACTGTTTTCAAAATAACAAATTACTCTGCTACTGTTCTGTAGCTATTGACAGAAGACATGACACTCCTGGGTTAGGGAAAAGAATTTCGTGACAGCACAGCAGGCAATATGGGTTTCATGGTCATGAGACAGGAGATTGATATTCCCCATCAGGAGGACCTTTTTACTTACGTGTCTTCTGTGGATGCCCAAACACCATGTAGCTGACCACAGCTGCAGAAGGTGAGCCACAGCAGCAGCAGGTGATCCACAGCTGCAGCAGGTGATCCACAGCTGCAGTAACTGATCCACAGCTGCCCCTTTAGACATTTGCTTTTGTGTTAAGGAACGTTGCCACAAATGCATCCCAGGTGACTCCGCCACCTGGATGCTGCTGCCTCACTGCAGCCCTCCACAATCAGGTCTGTGAGGATCTCTTCCACCTCATAGTTAAACAGAAAGTCTGACAATGACAGTGAATGAGCCCATCTTTTTCCTCTATACAAGCAACTTCCTCCACACTCTTAGCAAGTCAGCTTATGCATGGTTCCCTCTTATGCCTCTTATGCTTCAGCATGAATCCTAATAAGACCTCTTCTAAGTGGTGTATTATTGTCCTTTTGTGATTTCTATCTCAAATAGAGCAGGCTGAACTGAGAGCACTAAGAGCTGGTAATACCATAGGTTGCTGGTGCTAAAAGACACCAGTGCCTGGAGCCAGTAACACCAAAGGCAGTTAGCAACAGTGAATAATGGCGAGGTGCCAGGAGCTATCATCTTTTGCAAGAGTTGCTGAGGGCTGCTGATAACTGGTGGTTCTGAGAGGGAAGGAAGGGCCTAACCCTAGGAGCAGTAGTTGCTGGTATTCAAAGCGCAGGGCTATTCACACTAAAAGAGCTATACTTTGCCTGTTCGCGATTTCTATATGTATTGAGCACAAGAACCCTCAGGCACTTGGTCACAGTTGTGTAAATGTGGAAGCAGCTCCTGTTCATGCTGTACTCTCAGAAGGTTTGCATCAGAGCTAAGAAATCCCAAGCTTAGGAAACCTTGAACTTTGTAATGAGATATAAGTACAGCTGCCTTTGCCCCCGGTATCTGTTATTCTGGGCAGCCGACAGCTCTGCCCTCTGCTCCAGGTGGAGCTTCTATTTCTAAACTAAAGACTGTCTTCTATGTAAAACTAATCAAAGGACTGGGGCTGTCAGTGCCTTTGCTCACAAGGTGTATAGAAACTTGAGAGCCAGGTAGATTTGTGTCTCTAAAGCATTTTCAGACTTTCTGTAGTCTCTCTGCAGTTTCCATCTCATATAGTTATGATCACAGTAAATGTATAACTTTATGGCCTGATTGCCCATTCAACAAAAGCATTTCTCATATTGTTATACACAATCACCATCTTTTTTTTTTTTTTTTTTTTTTTTTTTTACCAAGGACCAAACTCAGGACCTTGCATGTGGCAGCCAGGTGCTTAAGCTGCTGAGCTATATATCCCCAGCCTTCACACAATCACCATCTTATACACTTTCATAAAGTTTTGTTTCTGACATTAATAATTTCATTGTCCCTTCACCTCAACAAAAGGATTCTTAGCAATTAAAATTGTTATGAACACTGTTATGGTTTGTGTCTAGCTGTTTTTCCCCCAAAGCACCATGCAATTATTGGGGTGACTTCTAGGTAGGGTTTGTGATTAATTCATGATCCAATGCTGGGATTATGGGTGTGAGTGCTACATTCACTCTGGGGTGGATAGCCTGAATACAATATGGGGAGAGGAGAGAGCCTTCAAACTGCCACAGATGCTGCCCCTCCCTTTTCTCATTGCTGGGTTTTTTTTTTTTTTTCTGTCAGGGTTTTCTTTCTTCTTTCTTTCTTTCTTTCTTTCTTTCTTTCTTTCTTTCTCTCTCTCTCTTTCTTTCTTTCTTTCTTTCTTTCTTTCTTTCTTTCTTTCTTTCTTTTTTTCTTGCTTGCTTGCTTGCTTGCTTGTCATACCAGGAATGGAACTCAGGACCTTGCACTTGCAAGGAAGGCATTTATCCCACTCAGCTATCTCCCCGGCATTCTTTGCTATTTCTTTTTTACTGTATTTGGTACAAAGTCTGTCTCACTATGCAGCTCAGACTTGTAGTGATCCTTCTGTTTTCAGCCTCCCCAGGGCTGGGATTACAGACCTGTGTCACCACACCCAGTTTTGGTGGCTGGCTGGAGATGGAACCCTGGTCCCTCAACTTGCCTGAGCAGGAATTTAGTCCACTGAACTATCTTGCTGGCCCACTCTTTGTTGTTTTCCACAGCCATGAACAGCTGCCCTCTGCCATGTGCCACTCTGCCTTGGAGCCAGCCAAGTATGAACTGAAACCTCCACTAACTGTGAACTAAATAAACCTTTCTTCCTTAATTCTGGGTGTTGGGCATTTCCCCAAGAAAAGAGAGAAAAGTGACTGAGATAAACACCTTTGTACATCATGCTTTTTAATATATTTCAGATTTTCTTGGAGACATTCCTAGGGGCAAAATCTGGATCAAAAACTAAGTCTAGTTTTAGGGCCCTCAGGGTGCACAGCCAACAGCTTTCTAACAAGTCAGTTCAATTTGCACAGCTTCAGCAGGGTTTGAATGAAAACCCTGCTTGATAAGCCACTATCAGTGAGGAATCTCTGCTCTGTCTCCTCCCCCATGTCATTAATCAGACTCATCAAAAATTGTCATGGGCCTTCCACCAGAAGCTCTCTTAAGTTTAACCACAGCAGAAGGCTAAGCCACTACCTCTCCATCAGGGCCCAGAAGTTTACTCTGTCATTTCTATCCACTGACTCCACCAGTTCCTTGACTGCAAATTCCCCTCAGCCAGGCTGGATTAGGAGTTGGGCCTGATCTCCCTCCTCCACTGCAAAACCCTCTTGCTGTGGTACTATCTTTAAGGCGATGTAACAACTATCATTTTCCTTTAGCAAATCCCAGATGGAAAGTGGTGGAACTGGGCACACAAATAAGTAACTGTAACAAAAAGTATTCCAGGAGGTCACAGAGTCAGGGAAGCAGGCTGGAAAAGGACCCTGTGTTGGAAAGTGTCCAGACCCAGAAGCAGGTACCTGGGTCTGGGGTGAGGGCTCTGTACCTGTCTTCACCTGAACTGCACAGGTCCTGGGGTGGGAGGTTTGTCATGGAGGATGATCAGTGTGGACCTTTCCTGGCTAAGTGAAAGCATCACAGAACCTTTGGCTCTCTTCACTACACTGTAATGGAGACAGCTAGGGCCTGGGAGGGTGGTGACCCTCAGGTGTCTCATTGGGTTAGTCCAACAGGAGTCAGACCAGGCTTCCTCCTGATCAACACAAGACCTGTGAGCATTTGGGTGTATCCACTGCCATTACTAACAAGAAGGCTAACTAATGTGAACAGTCAGGGACAATCTTCTGCATGGACATAAGTATTTGTTTTCTGTCTTTCTTTCTTAAAAGTGGAATGTATTTATTGGAGGATAGAAAGCTTCTGTCTGAGAGAGAGAGAGAGATAGCGAGCGCAGAGGATCCAATTGAGTTGCCAAGGACTCTGCCTTTTCCAGGCATTTTTTTGAGCAAATCCATGGTGTGAGGCAGGGCCAAGGTGGGAAAAATGGGAAATCACAGGTGAGTATGAGAAAACTATAGTCAAACAAGAAGACTATGACAGGCGGGCAAGATGGCGGCCTAGTGGAATGAAAATTGGTGCCTAGCAGCAGATTTTCAAGGCAATTTCTTCCACATCTTTTTTCGTATCCTGACAAGCTTCTTCAGGTACTATGACGGTGGCAGCAGCAGTAAGATGGGCCATATCAAAAAGAGCTCTCTTGAAGCATTTATTTCCAATCCAAAATGGAGCTTTATCTCATGTTTGCTGTAAATCTACGTATTCTTCTCTTCCAGATGACTATAATTGCAAAGTAGAGCTTGCTTTGACATCTGATGGCAGGACAATAGTATGCTACCACCCTTCTGTGGACATTCCATATGAACACACAAGACCTATGCCTCAACCAGATCTTGTCCATAATATTGAAGAAACACATGATCAAGTGCTGAAAACCAGATTAGAAGAAAATGAAAGTGAATTCCTTGAGCAAGGACCCATGATAGAACAACTTAGCAAAATGTTCTTCACAACGAAGCATCGTTGGTATCCTCGCGGGCAGTATCACAGACGTTGTATGAAACTGAATCCTCCAAAAGACAGATGATATTGAGATTCATGGGAGAATCGAAGAGAAATGTTATCCTGTGCTTAGTTTGCCACTGGAAGAAATACCCTAATACTTATATGGTAATAGTCAAATAATAAAATGTCTTTTCACATAAAAAAAAAAGAAGACTATGACAGGGAAGCACTTTTTTTTTTTTTTTTTTTTTTTTTGGTGGAACCAGGGATTGAACTCAGGCCCTTGTGCTTGACAGGGAAGCACTTATCCCACTGAGCCATCTCCCCAGCCCCAAGAAGACTATGAGCATAACTGCTCAGGTAAAATTGATTCAATCAGGATCAAATGGAGAAGCAAGTCATGTGTCAAGCAGACTATAGAACTGGTGCTTTCCCCACAGGGCTTGGGTCAGTGGCTCCTACTGGCTTCCTCAAGGTGACTCTTACCTCTTTAGATGATCAGTCCCTGATGTTTATCCTTAGGAAGTATGTGGGAAGCATGTGTTCTCTTCTGTCTTGATGTCTTGCCCACAGCAGAGGTGTCTGTCTACCCCTCAGTTGCAAAGTAGCTCATCTTCTGCACTGGCTCCCTTGAGGGCTTAGCCCTGTCTGATTGCCTATGATATTTTCATGTGACTTAGCTGCCTGGAAGATAGCTGTGAGTTTGAGTCCTACCTGGGCTACAAAGTGAATCCAAGGCCAGCCTGAACTACATAGTAAAACCCTGTCTCAAAAAACAAAAACAAACAAACAAAACAGCTTAGCTGCCTATATAACATTTCACATTCTGAAATGTCTCCCTCGTGAGGGAGTAAAGGGCGATGACTGATTTGGCTTCTTCAGGTAAAGGAGGTCATAGTTGTTTATCGACAGTCAGAGAAACTCTACAGAGGGTCTCTCTAAAGGCTCTCAGTAGACCCCAGACATTTTCATCTTAGGTAGGCATATAACTCCAACAATCACTCTGAGAGTCTGTTTTTCTTTAAGGCCACAACAAAGGCAGTCACTATTTGGTCTCTTTGTTTTCTCTCCTTGGCTTTCTACCAGTCCAGATAATAGAATACTAAGATGGCAGTTTTTAGTAAAGTATCAAATGAGCTATCTGCAGCAAAACATATCATTTGTTGCTTTTTTCTAATATCTGGGGCTGACACAGTAATAGACATGTATTTAAGCAAAATCTGTCCTCTTCTTGAATCAGGAGCTATGGACATCATATGTCTTACCAATGCCTTTAGTAAACAATGTAGGAAGGCAGAGGGTTCATCTTTCTCCTGGTAAATATCTGACAATTTGAAATAATTACAGGGCTTGTTTTTCATCTTCCTTAAACCTTTCAGAATACACACTTGAAAATGTCCCCTGTTCCAATCTCCTGTCTGGTTATTAGACCAGCAGGGGTCTTGGGTAGGGACTACTTGGGCTCCAGTATGAACTGATTGTTCCCCTGGCTCTCTTCTGGCTGTTTAAAATTAATAATATGATATTCATCCCCAAATGTAATAGCAGCTTGTAATGCGGCTTGTCTCTCATTAGAAGTCAATGTCTGATTTAAGATTAACACTCTATCTTTCCAGCCTAGCTTAGATGTCTGAATAAATCCTGTAAAGACATCAATGTACTTATTAGGGTCATCTGAAAATGTCCTTAGTTCTAGCTTGATCTGCTTTAAGTCACTGAGAGAAAGAGACATAGAACATAGGTAGGCTCATATGGATTATAATTATACTCTGAGCATAAATAAGATATTTTTGGGGGTACTATGATTTGAACTCATGATCTCACACTTGCCAAGCAGATGCTGTGCTGCTGAACTACATCCCTGGCTCAATAATAATGGTGATGATGATGATGATGATAATAATAATAATTATTATTATTATTATTTTAATGTAATTGGTACACGGTCTAACTATGCAAGTTGGACTCATAGTGATCCTCCTGTTTTCAGCCTCCTCAGGATTGGGATTACAGGCATCCATCACCACGCCCAGGCCATCATACACAGACTCTGTGGCCTGCTCAACGCACTCGGGGTAGGGCTGGGGCCAGTACGGCATGTGGTGCTGGGGATCAAACCCCTGTTCCTGAGCTTGCCAGACAGGCACTTATGGTGCCAAGCTATCTCCCCAGCCCAATTATTTCTTAATCTAAAGAATGTTTAAGCATTCTTTAGATTAAGAAATAATATAAAAATTGGCAGTTCTGACAATTTCTTTTCTCTTTTTTTTAGTATGATTTTGGTTGTACAAGGACATCACAATTAATAATTTCCTTTGCTTCAATCCCCAGTTCCGCCAAAAAAATAATAATAATAATTCCCTTTGCATTCCATTTTGGCTCTAGAGGGTAGGCAGGCCATGTGTTTGTGCAGAAAAATATTAAATGGCACTCTTTAAACACTTAGGGGTCAAACATCTTCCAGTGCTTAAGAATCCCTTTTAAAGGAGTAAGAGACTCTGACTTGAACACCCCATGTGTGGTGGATTGCCAATTGGTGGTCAACTTGCTACACCCACCTGAACTGAACTAGTGTGGTGCTGGGTGTGGGAGGCCCACCTAAGGACTGCTGCCAGATCATTACCATCTATTATGAGAACCTATAGTCTAATAAGATGGAAAACACAAAAGAAACAGATTCCCAGTTACAATCAAATTGCCAAAACTAAACGAAGAAGATAAAACAATTCTAAATAACCTGATATCAGTCAATGAAGTTGAAAATTAATTAAAAATTTACCTGCAAGGGGCTGGCAAGATAGCTCAGTGGACTAAAGCACCTGCTTAGGTAAGCGCAGGGACAGTGGCTCCATCCCCAGCACCACATGCTGTGCCAGCCACACCCCCAGAGGGGGCAGAGCTGGCTACAGAGTCTAGGCATAGTGGTGTACCCTGTAATCCCAGAGCTGGGGAGGCTGAAAACAGGAGGATCACTATGAGTCTGAGCTGCATAGGGAGACCCTGTAACAACCAAATACATTAATAATAATAACAATAATAACAA